GAACCCAGGGAGGAAGAGGGAAGAGTGCTACATTGAGGGGATTGTAACCAATGTCATGACACAAAATGTGTATAAATTGTTGAATGGAAAACTAATATGCTATGTAAACTTTCACTCAAACTGCAATAGTAATAATAATAAAACAACAGAGCACAATTCTGCTCTGACACACATGGGGTTGCTGTGAGTCAGAATCAGCCCAACAGAACTCTTTGTGTGTGTGTGTGTGTCTATGTTTATGTATGGAAGAGATACACATTACTTTTATGCTCACATTCCATTAGCTTGAATGCAGGAAAATGGCCACACTCAGCTGTAAAGGAGACTACAAAATGTAGTTTGGCTAAATACTCACAAAGAAGAAAATCTAAGTTCTCTTTTTGTCAAGTCTAATATATGTTCTGCTGTCAAGGACACAGTTATGTCCTCAAATGAAGGAAATAAAGTATGATACATTCCATAAGGAAAATGTTAAAGTGCCTAAGAAGAAAGGAGGGAGCAATCTGCTCCACTTGGGAACAAGGGCGTGTTGACCAGGGAAGGCTTCACAGACAAGGGTGACATTTGAACTAAAATTTCTAGTAGAATTTACTCAGCAGGAAAGTGAGAATGAGCACCTCAGCAAGAACAAAGGCATGGCAATACAATGAAAAGGCAGTATGTCACAGGCCAGATTTTATTTCTTTGGAGTGAGGAGAAAGTGGTGAGTGATGAGGCTGAAGAATTACATTGAAGATCACACTGTGAAAGACCTTAGGTGGCATGTTAAAGAGTTTGTATTTGTATATGTATACAACAGGGAAGTCTCAGGAGTTCTTTTTACCAAGGAGTGGCACGATCATATTGTGTCTTTGAAAGGTACATTCATTCTTTTAACAATTACTGAGTATTTGTGTCTTAGTTACTGTGCTTGCTGCTGGATACAAAAACAAACAAAACCACATTCCTTACTTTGGTGGTAATATGAAGGCTGCATTGGCAGGAATAGGATTACAAGTAGAATTAAGAACTTCTTTCTCACTCAGAGTGAAAAGAGATGAGGCCCTGAATATATTGACAGTGAAAATGGAAAGGAGTGGATGGATTCTAGAGATAATCTATAGAGTAGAATCTGATGGAACTCCTAGTCAGTCTAATGTATTGCATGAGGGTAATTGTTTAATGAAAGTATCACAAATATTTCTAACATGAGAGAGTGGGTAGCTGGTGGAAATAAGAATTACTAAAAGAAGTAGACCAGGTTTGAGTGAAAGATTGTGAATTCAGTCATGATTATGACTTTGAAATACCTAGGTGGAGGAATCAGGAAATAAGTGGAAACGTAGTTTTAAAAATCAGGAGAGGGACTAGAAATGGAACCAGAGAGAAATATGGCTATGATAGACATATGGGTTTCATTTTAGACCATTTACAGATTCCCCAAGAACAGAAATTCAAGAAGTAAAAGGTGGGTAAAAGAGATAAAAGCCAAAAAGGTTGACACACAATTGTCAGAATTAGGATTGTGTTTTAAGAAAGATGTTGTTGGTTAACTGTTTTAAAAAATGGAGAAACTGTTTAACAAGATTAAGCTGAGATACCCATTAGATTAGTCTATGACAGTTTTTAGGCACTATTGCAAAAGGTATGAGTGCAAAAGCTTGTGAGAACAAGAGTAGACAGTAGCTTGCTTGAAAGAAGAGTAAATATGGGAGAGAATTTGTAAGATGTACATGTATTTATAGTCTGAGGGTAGAAAAGAGAGAGTTTGAACCTTAAGAATCAGAAAGAATCCTGAAGCGTATGGAAAGGAATAAGCACAAGTGATGGGCTTACTTTCTGAAACAAGGCAAACAAAAAAGTTTGGAAATAAATGAGAATGAGGCAGAGAATATATAAGGGAAGCAGAGGAACTGTTGTGAGGGTATTGGCATTTGTAGTGGAGAAAGCATAGTGAGTCATAGGACATGAGAATGGGTACCAGTTCTGGGTGCTGATTCAGGAGGAACAACATGGAAGAATCCATGTTAATTACTATACCATTGGATTTTAGTAGAGCCAGTGGCATATGCACACTGTTTTCCAGGGTGCCGCTACACCAAAAATAGGAATAAATAAGTAAATAAATAAAGGTCACATGTGTTGATAGCAGATTGGTAAAATAAAATAATACAGGAAATGAAGTGTTTGTAAGAATGGAAAGGTGCTTGGGTGGTGTACCAGCTAAGTGCTCAGCTGCTAACAGAAAAGTTGGCAGTTTGAACCTGTCTGTTGGCTCCATGAGAGAAAGTCCTGACAATCCAGTAAAGATGACAGCCTAAAAGACCCTGTGGGGCAGTTCTGCTCTGTCACATGAGGTCACTAGGAGTCAGAATCAACTTGACAGCCCTTAGCAGCAACATGAGTATGGAATTGAAATGTGTATCTTGGAGTCTAGTTTGGGTAAGAAAGAAACAAAGCCTGGAAGGGACTGTTAGCCAGGAGTTTGGAAGAGCCAAGATATTGGAAGTTGTATACATGGTTAGGTGGAAGATGTAAGTACTTTCAGTACATGATATGCTTTAGAGTAGAACTTGCTGTAAACTCCAAAGGTAATCATGATGAATCATGGAGTAGGGCTTACTACTTACCAGTCGTGCTCTTTAGGCTCAAATTTCAAGGCATCTCTAATGAGATTCAGTATCCCATATGTAAAATGGGATTGCTATATTTTACAGAATAATAAAAATTGTCAGGAAAGCCTAAATCATATATGAATGACCATGAATTTTTCCTTTATTCACATGTAGATCATCACATCATAAAGCAATCAGAAAGGAAAAAAAAATTCTTCTGGATTCTCTTAATAAGTTTATCCTAAGGAACCAATTTGAATAAATGAATTCTTTTCAAATGAAGTCATTCATATTATTATTGATTATTGGTGAAATTTAAAAATGTGCACTTTTAAAATTAATTATAATCTATATGCTATTTTGGCATTATTCAAAAGATTACACACACACACACACATGCACCCCAACACACATGCATACCTACGTAGTTGGGAATCTTGATTGACAGCATAAAGCTAAATTACATGAAATATTTAACCACAGTACAAGAGCCATTTGCAGTTTTAAAAAGCAAATAAATAAAACAATATTCCAATGAATTGTCCATGTATAGCAACAAATCAGTAAGAAGGGACAAACCCACATAGTGAAATAGATAAATCAGATTTAGGCAGGATAGTTTATTGAATTTAAATTGTGCCCAGTTGGCCCAAGAGCTATATATAAGCAATCCATCTTACGTTGTTAATGGAGATTCTTGAAATCCACCTGATGTTTGCATTATTAAATTTCAGTCTAATGAGCTCTGCTAATACATATTGAAGACGGTTGTAAGGAATAGAATGTGAATCTGAGCGGGATAATTTGAAAGAAACATAAGCTGAGCATTTTACATGACTCAAGGGGTATATCTACAATTATACATATAACCAAAATTGAATTTAAATGGAATTTCTATTATCCTTGTCCTTCTACCAGGGAGAATAAAGTGTAAATGAAGTAAAAGTCTTTAGAGTTACTGGTGGTTTGTTTTTATTATCTAATTTAATAGATTCTTACAATGATACAGAGTGGCATAAAAGTTTTAATATTTCATGACTTTAAATGCAGTCTAAGTATGTATAAAAGCTTGTAAATGGAAACAGATGTCTGTGTAATTGGATATAGCACTTCATAACACCATTATATAAGTTTTATATTTTAGAAAGTGTTAATATTGATGGGGAAGAAAAATCATACTTGCAAGAAAAATAATTATGGATGTGGCATGTATTTTGTTTAAATTCCTTTTGAACCAGGTTTTGTACTTCCACATGATATGTTGATTTTGTGTAGGAAAAATATATGTTGCAAAACACTCAAGAGTAAATATGTTTTTAAAATCATTGCTGTTTACATTGCTGCTACTTTTATAATAAAGACTCATCTGAAGTTTAATGCTGGCACAGTTTGATTCTTTTTCTTTTGATGAGGCAATATTTTTTTTAACTTAATGTTTCATCAACTATAATGCTATTAGAGACTTATTTTCACTTAGTTCACTCATCAGGCAGTGAGACGGCAATAAAGGAGAATCGCTCCTTTGAGACGTTAATGCTTTGGAATAAATGATGTGCTAGAACAGAAATTTAATTAATTTACAGAGTATATTGATATTCCCTTGTTACCATGCTGTATATTTTTAATCTTCTTTAACATCTGTAGTAAAGTGTTTGAAAACCCCTGCAGTTGAGCAACTAGTAGATAATTAAGTAATAAGGGAAGAGGCTTCTGGAGGGAAAAGGATTCTTTTTACCAAATGCTGTGATAACATGAATGAAGAATTGCTACCATGATGTGCAATGAAAAAAAACTATATGCTACTTAATTTGATACTGTTCCATAGATATTGCAAGCTTCTTATATTTAAAATGTGAATTGTAGCTTAAGAACTTTCCTCCAAAGTTTAAAATGGACACATTACACTGGCAAATCAGATGACTTTTAATGACCTCAATTGTTTTCCCAACTGGCATGCCATCATTTAAACTTACATTAAAATCATTTTCTTTTTTGTATAGAGAGTATCATTAATTAAACTTCAAAGATTCTAAATAAATAAATATTTATTCTGAATTAAGATTCCAGAATTTGTACTTCATATTTTCAACTACTTTATTTCTTCCTTCTAGCTACTTCACAAGGAGCTCTGGTGGCGTAGTGCCTAAGGCACTTGCCTGCTAACCACAAGGCTGGCGGTTCAAACCCACCAGCCACTCCTCAGAAGGAAGGTTGGGCAATCTACTTCCTTAGTGATATACTGCCTCAGAAACCCAAGGAGGGGTGGCTATGAGTCGGGTCCGACTCAACGGCACATAACAACAACTACACAAAATACAGATAATGAGTTTTGTTCACTTTTCCCAGTGTTTTCACTTGGAACATGGGCATAAAATAAATTAAGAAATTTCATTGTTTTTGTTTCAGCAAAAGCTGATGAAGCATTGAAAGCCAAAGAAAGAAATGAGGAAGAAGCAAGACGAAGAAAGGAGGAAGGTAAAGACATGTTTTCATTTTTTCCCAAAGCAGCCTTTGTACTTAGGCTCATTGTTTGGCACTATTCTCTCCATTCCCTGGAGAGACCATAGACTATAATCAGATGCCTTCAGGGGTACCTCAAGCTACTGCATGAACCTGAACAGGATCACACTGTATTTCATGTCTTGGATACTAACTAATGTTTGCTAGCATGAAATTAATTTATAAGCATCCTACTATACACTCTGAGCAATGAAGGAGATATAAAATTAAAAAGTAGAGCTGGTCTTGGTTTGTTTCCTTCTGACTTTTATCTTTATAGTTAACAAATTACCCAGCTAAATCATAGAAACAGATTTAACTTTTAACAGTATTCTGGCAGTTATGAAGAAGACTCTTCTTACCAATAAAACTCTTTAAAATGAAAGAATAATAAAATCTGAAATGTCAGAAATAAATCATAATTCAGATTAAGAAATTAGTGTCTTAATTCTTATGAATTACATATTGTTCTTTTTTCTTAAAAACATTTAAGCCATCCCTCCAAAAAAAATTATCATGTAAACAGATCTAAAACATTTTTTTATCTCCTTTAACACACTTTTAGTTTCCTACCTGTGATTTTTTCTTCTTCAGTTGAAAAAAAAAGAAAAAAAAAAAAAGAAAAAAGAACTGAAGAAAAAATTTAAGCCTCGAGTTGCAATAGTGAGAGATTCTATGGGCAAAATATTGAATGATGCAGGAAACATCAAGAGAAGATGGCAGGAATACACAGAGTCACTGTACCAAAAAGAACTGATGGATCTTCATCCATTTCAGGAAGTGGCATATGATCTAGAACCAATGGTAATGAAGGAAGAAGTCAAAGCTGCAATGAAAGAACTGGCGAAGAACAAGGCTCCGGGAATTGATGGCATACCGATTGAGATATTTCAACAAACAGATGCCCCATTGGAGGCGCTCACTCAGTTATGCCAAGAGATTTGGAGGACAGCTACCTGGCCAACTGACTGGAAGAGATCCATATTTGTGCCCATTCCAAAGAAAGGTGATCCCACAGAATGTAGAAATTATAGAACAATATCACTAATATCACATGCAAGTAAGATATTACTGAAGATAATTCAGAAACGTTTGCAGCAGTATATTGACAGAGAACTTCCAGAGGTTCAAGCCGGATTCAGAAGAGGACGTGGAACAAGGGATATCATAGCTGTTGTCAGATGGATCTTGGCTCAAGGCAAAGAATACCAGAAAGATGTTTACTTGTGTTTTATTGACTATGCAAAGGCATTTGATTGTGTGGATCATGACAAATTATGGATAACATTGAGAAGAATGGGAATCCCTGAGCACTTGATTGTACTCATGAGGAATCTATACCTTGACCAGGAGGCTGTCGTTCTAACAGAACAAGGGGACACTACATGGTTTAAAATCAAGAAGGGAGTGCGTCAGGGTTGTATTCTTTCTCCACACTTATTCAATCTATATGCTGAGCAAATAATCCGAGAAGCTGGACTATATGAAGAAAAACGTGGTATCAGGATTGGAGGAAGAATCATTAACAACCTGAGATATGCAGACGATACAACTTTGCTTGCTGAAAGTGAGGATGACTTAAGGCACCTACTGATGAAGGTTGAAGAATACAGTCTGCAGTATGGATTACATCTCAACATAAAGAAAACAAAAATCCTCACAACTGGACCAATGAGCAGCATCACAATCAATGGAGAGAAGATTGAGGTTGTCAAGGAATTCACATTGCTTGGTTCTACAATCGATGCCAACGGAAGCAGCAGTCAGGACATTAGACGTCGTTTAGCATTGGGAAAGTCAACTGCGAAGGAACTGTTTCAAGTGCTGAGGAGCAAGGATATCTCCTTGAGGACTAAGGTGCGCCTGACACAAGCCATGATATTTCCAATCACCTTGTATGCATGTGAGAGCTGGACAATGAATAGGGAAGACCGAAGAAGAGTTGATGCTTTTGAGTTGTGGTGCTGGCGAAGAATGCTGAAAGTACCATGGACTGCTAAAAGAACTAACAGATCTGTCCTGGAGGAAGTGCAGCCAGAATGCTCCTTGGAAGCAAGAATGGCCAGACTTCGTCTCACCTATTTTGGTCATGTTGTAAGAAGGGACCATTCCCTGGAGAAGGATGTCATGCTTGGTAGGGTGGAGGGTCGACGAAAGAGGGGGAGGCCTTCAACGAGATGGATTGATACAGTGGCTGCGATGATGGGCTCGAGTATAGCAGGGATTGTGGGGCTGGTGCGGGATCGGGCAGTGTTTCGTTCTGCTGTGCATGGGGTCGCTATGAGTCGGAAACGACTCGACGGCACTTAACAACAACAACAACAACAACCTGTGATTTATATTAGTGAAAATGTTGCCTTCTTTCCTTCACACAGGCTTCATGTATACTGATGTAAATTATAGTGCTTAAAGCAAGATCCAGGCAAATCTTACTCAATGAGTTAAGCAATGATCTGCTTGGACTGGCAGTCATGTTACTTTACTGGCTAATTAGCAGAGTAACCATTTCCTCAATGAGCTTTCTAGAAGCCGAATCCCTGATAACGTGTGCCAAAATACTGGCTTTGAGTGCTGTTGTCTAATTCTGAAAGTTAAAGTTTTTACCTCAGTCTCTATCTTTTACTGTGACAACAAGAAAAACATTTTGCACTTACAGCTTCCATTTGACAGCTGGGACCCACTAAAACCTAAAATGTTTGAGTATGATGGTTTAGCATGCTCAAAGGCAGCATCCCTTCAGAGCAAAGACCCCAAAGAAAATCCAAAAACAACGTCTACAGATTTAGATGGCAGAACCCTACAAAAAAATGTAAATATGTAGTGGCATACTAAGATTGACTGTCATCAGCCTGGCCTTATGTGATCTCCAGAGATCCTGAGTTCATGTTTTTGTACTGAATCAACTGCTTTTATGGTATATGAAGACAACAAGTGAATTCCATTGTCGGGAATCCTTAGTAGAATTGTCTTTTTTTGATTCTGAAGTTTACATCTTAACATTGTTAAGTGGAAGCAACCCATCTGATATTAGTATGTCCCTGAGGTGCTCCGGTGGTATAATGCCTGAAGCATTTGACTGCTAACTAGAAGGTTGGCAGTTCAAGGCCCCCAGCCCCTCTGCAGAAGGAAGACTGGGCAATCTGCTTCTGTAAGGATTTACCACCTCGGAAACCCAAAGGGAGTTGCTATGAGTCAGAATTGACTCGATGGAAGTGAGTTTGGTTTGGTTTTTATGGTATGCCCCTAGTACAAACACATGTTACTAGGTGCAAAGCAGTCTAAGCAAATTACAATATTTTAATATTGCTATGTTATGTGGTATTCAGATCAATGTAACTAATTAATAACATAATGGCCCTTATAAAACACTGTGGTACTGTAAATCACAAGTGTAGTTCTTATTATCAGCCAACATAGTGGAAATATGGTGCAGTAGTTATTAGCCTAATCCCATTAATTCAAATCTTAATTGAAGTCGTAATCAGTTGGAAAGGATGGCACTGATTATAACCATGGATATTGAAATTGCTAGGTGATTTATTATTGGGAAAAAGTGTAATATGAATATTTGACCTAATTAAAGAAACTGTTTTTGAATACTTAAGAACACCTCACTTACGTGCTGACAATATTTCTGGTATTCTCTATTTTTCATTAAATTGGTTCTAAGCATCTTTAAAAAGGGAACTTCGTGATTTTTTTTTAAGAAACTACAGATATTTGAAAGTTATACTGTAATTCTATTGAAAATATTCCATTATTTTTATTTTTCACTTAGACAAACTGACCTTGTACTTAGCCTATGATATACAGTAACCTTTTCCATTTCAACATCTAAGAATTGTTGGAAAAGCAACATTCCTGCAATCATAGCTGTATTTATTAGTGTCTTTACACGTCTGTTATCATAACTAGAGGTTACACTCCAGAATTGTAGAGGCCTTAGAGTTTAGAGTGTTCACTGTTATATCCATGCTTCATAGCACATTATACTCAGTTTTCTGAAAGGGTGAATGAATAATTGCATGAATGAATGCTCAGTTCACGCTTATTCTTCTAAATCCATGCTTATTTAGCTAAGCTTCGGCTTGCAGTTGAATTCAAATGACACTGTTGAAAATAGAGCCCATCTTTATCTTGTCAAAGTCCTGGTCCCACAGTGGTTAAGCATTCAGCTGCTGACTGAAAGGTTGGCAGTTTGAATCCACCAGCCAGTCTCTGGAAGAAAGGTGCGGCGGTCTGCTTCCTTAAAGATTATAGCTTCAGAAACCTTATGAGGCAGTTTTACCCTGCCAGTAGGGTCGTTATGAGTTGGAATTGATTTGATAGCAATGGGTTTTGTTATGTCCCTTTTCTAAGACAGGACTGCACCTATATTAGGCCATTGCTCTAATGACTTACAGCCATGGAAAATGAAACCAGAGAATGCTAACATGGATTTATCAAGTCTAAATGAACTCATTGAATTTTTTTTTTTTTGCATCCAAAGAACATAAGAAAAATATTACTACAGATATTGAAGAAAATTCAACTGATAAAATAACTGTATGACATTTAGGTCTAAGAGGAAAACAGTGTATTTTCTTTTTTATTCAATAGGTTTCCTTTGCTTGTTTTTTGTTGGTGAAACTAAACTACTAATTATTTTCTTTGTCATTGTTCTTATTGTTTTGCTTCCAACTTTTTTTTTCTGTTTTCTAGATACATGGATGCTATTGAGTTAACCTTTGCCTGAAAAATGATTAATGTATAAGCTACATTTATTTTATTTCATATAATTAGTCTAGCTGAAAATTGAAACCTGAGCTACATCAGTCTGTGTATGTTTATGTACTTCTGCATCTGAAAGAATATAATCCCTTATTTCCAGTCTGTAAGGCAGTAGTAATTCACTCTGTCACATCATTTATACAATTCATCTCTTAATCTCTCAGCATGCTGATATGCAGCACAGGATTGAAATCATTGTTAAAATG